TAATTTCGTAATCTGTAACCCTACGAATGTTGCAGACGTCCATTTGCGTTACCGTTAACGTTAACGTCAGGTGAACCGTCAGCTAGCTTGCCACCTTCTCACAGAGAAAAAAAGAAATAAACAATACATTGATAAGGGCACCCTAAGCTAATCAATTTAAAATATTACCATACCCGAATGTTTTAGTTGATTGAGTTTTGTTAAAAAAAGTAAAGTTTATATACAGTGGAAGGTAAGTGGAAACTTGAAAGGCCCCATAACAGCGGCCCTCCCAAAATCTTAATTTTTTATTATACTTTCGGAGATATGACTCTATCATAGAATTATATAACATTCTATTCATATCCATAAAACAATCTTCGAATTTTTAAAATGGTTTTAATATATGGGCTATATATATTAAAACACATTTTAAAAATCTTAATTTTGGTAGAAAACCGAGGCAGATAATATAAATTAACATCAGACTAAACAAGACGTATAACATCACTAGCAAATGAAAGACTATGTAAGGAGTCTGTATATGTATTACCAAATACCGTAACTTACTGATACATAAGACAGTAATTTACTGACGAAAACTATACGGAATTATTCGAATTTTTTATTCAAAAATGTGCACAAATAGTGGAATCTCAAGCTATTAGAACTGTAATTTTCGTTTCAAAAATCTCAAAAAGCATTGAAAGTAACCGATGTTCATTTTCGAACACCAGAGGTTTATCAAAACTTTCAATATCGTATTGATTAGGGTGCTCTCCAATGGATCACAAACTGAAAATCTCTTCAAACGTCTGCTTCAAGTGAAGTAAGATAAATCCTTATAACAGAAATACAAAAGTATTTATATTTTCATTCTGTGTTAAGGATTAACCGTGTTGAGAAAAATCTTAAAATTTTTGTAAAAGATTGTACACAAAGGTTGGCACTTAAAGTTTCAATTGGATGCCTTTCTTGTCTTAAACTATTTTAAGTCTGTCAACCTAAAATATGTCGGTGGAGATAGTGAAAAGTGCCCACTTTTACCGTATTTATTCAATATATCTCCAAGTGACTTAATTATGCTTTAACAAAGTTTATCTTCCCACCCAAAATTCTCGCTCTCAACGCTTTGATGGTGGAAATTGGGACATGAATTAAAAATGAAGAAATAGGCTTGATTTTTTGTTTATATCCACCAAATCGTTTATTACAGAAGCGAATAGTTAATACACAGTGTAAAAGAAGAAGTTCATTTCAGCGCGAAGAATATAGCTTCCTTCGCGTTGTTATACATATATGAGATTTATCGCATATACAGGGTAATAGGTTAAAAAATAACAAAGTGAAATAGCCTTAGTATTATTAACTCTTTATTCTCTTGAATTGTCAAAATTAATATTACAATATTGAATGCGGGCTTCATATACAATCACCCAACTATTTTTCTTATTTTACCACGACACAGTCACATAAGCCGTAAATACGGTAACGCAAATGATTCAACGGACACCCCGATACGGAGGATAGAAATAATAAAAATTGCCTCTAATTAAAAGTATAATTAAAAAAATATAGTGAACTTATTCCATTTTTGAATAAATGAAATATCTATATACTTTGTACAACCAGAGCCGAAACACGATCTGCAATAGGTGTCCAAATCTTATTACGTATACCATAATACGACAAGTCTCATTACATAAATACATAACGTAAAACAAATAAAAAAATATGAACAAAATAATAATGCGCCACATAAAAATTTTCACGACTATTTACATTTACTTACTTTAAGATGATTTAATTTCTATCTTCAAAAATATAGATATACGTACATACATACATAGCTACATTTATATAAAGATAAAAATTGAACGATTATTTAGACGTAACCTAACAGAACGGAAGTCTTGTATTACTTCTATTGTTAAAATATTAAAAGTAAGGTGAAGTAAGTTTCGCGATATAACAATGAGTGTAAATAAAAATGATATGGTACTTAATAGGAATTAATTCTCAAAATTAGGACGATGGACATTTAAGACATTTTTTTATAAATATGGAAGTTTATTAAGGTGTTTAATACATTTAGACTACAATACTAGCAATATGGCAAGACAGCATTGCAAAATGGAGGATGTGTATCTATTTAACAAATTGCTCATTGTTTCACAAGAATTAGCTATGGTTTTTTACGAGTCACCAAACAATAAAGAAAACTTGACATAAAGCACTTGGACACGCTTACGCAGAACTGACGTTTTCCAAGATTTTCCTTCTTTTAGAAACAAAACTTAATATAGTACCTAACATGTTTAACAATGAAAATCGCATCGGATTTTGCACAGTCCCATAATAAAAAAAATATAATCGATTAAAACAATTAGATCGGCAAAATCAAATAGATTTGTCGGATGGATATAACAATAAGTTTTCGTATACACACATAGTTTTCTACATTACACCTCGATGCAAAGGAGTTTGTGTGTGTCGTTTGTTCGAACTTTTAACGCCTTCAATCTGTACGATTCTCCCATCGACAATTATTACGAACAATACTTAGTTTATTAAGCGTTTATAAACAAATACTTTATCCGGCTTAACACGCTCAACATATCTACTTTACGAATTACCTATGCATTATAATTTATAAGTCTACTTACACCGATTACTTAAGTACATTTTGTTCGAATTTTTTTTAGATTCTCGATTCGCGTTTAAAAATTATGATGAGATTAATAATTTATAACTAACGACAACCTTATTTCGTAAGCATTCTAACGAGACTTTTATGTATATTTTTCTTTATGAGAACATCTAATTTATTATTGCACATACCAGACGGTAGCCGATACATTCAATGTAAAGTTACGTGACACCGTAAAATCTTATGACATTAACTTAACTCGGGCCTTTCGAGTCGAAAATAACGGATTTTTCTGGTGACGGAGAAAATATTTTATGCTTAAGGAATTAATAAATTCGTCTAGGAGCTAGGTACCAACGACGCTTGAATAACTTTTTTTTAAATTAAAACTCCACAAATTGTAAATCATTTTGTATATGTGAGTTTGACCGATACTATTTTGTTCATGCACTGGATTATGTCATAAATTTTAATACAATTTGACATTGATTACATGAGTGACAAACTTCAATACCTTACATTACGATAGTTAAAACATTTTCCATCGATCTACGTTAAAGATTTGTGACGTCACGACATTTACTTCTCACAAACATTACGATTTTAGATTTTTTTTTAATATAACGCGAATATGATATTGGACAGACATCTATTGCGATTGATATAAAAATCAAGCGGAGACCGTTTATATACGAATATTAACTAATTCTCCATTTATTCTACCCTGACAATAATTTACGTATAATGGGTGACTATCAACACTAATTATTAGAATCTTATTATTTTTTTAAATTTATGATGCACAAAAATATTCAGCTCACAATGACTGACTGTAATGCAGTAGACGAAATTTCGACATTTGTAAATTATAACTTTAAATATACAATGCTAAATTATCTTTTAAACGTACTTTGGCACAACATGGAATTGAAAGCGATATTGAAATTCCAGGCGTGTTTACGAGTGACGTGTCCAACTTTATTTTTTTAACAACTTTTAAAATGCAGAAATCTGTAACATAAATATTTGATGGCCTTGAATCCTTATTAGATATCAAGCTGGAGTTCTCGGAATAAAGGCATGTAGGTTAAAAACCCTTTTTCCCTATTTAGTTATTGTAGTCCCGAAAAGCTATAAATTTGAAGCAAAGAAGTGAATAAGGGAATACAATAAGCGAATGATCAAGTTAATCCTACAGAAGGTACACAACGTGTAACTAAATTCTTAGGAAATACTCCATACAAATTCCAATCTAATGTAACCTATGTATATTACACTTACGCTACTCAACATTTAAAATTAGATGTAAAACTTTATATTTAGTCACATTATTGTTTATTATATGTATCATTGTTACGTATATAATTTTTGAACATCGGATGATTTTGGATTGTTTTGGACAACGCACAATTTGTTCGAATGCATCACAATGTAGGGTCGATCAATATTCTGCATTATCTGGACACGACGATATTAGTTACTCTAGAATTGATATCAAAAAATATCGTGTTATATCAAATTTTTTTTTGCTCTGAAGACAATTACAAAATTAAGGTTCGTTAAAACGAAGACTTATCCGCGATTGTACTTCGATACGTATTTTGTTACAAATACACGTTAAACGCTCTTATGGAATAATTATGTATGCTATATTCATATAATTGCTGATAGATAATATTGTTATAAAACTAAAACTGATCAAACTGAATCAACAATTTACGAACTTAACGACGGAAGAAAACCACGGATCAAATTAATAAACCAACTCTTTCGAAATCAACTGACAATAATACAACAAACTTTACAATTATAAAAAAAAATGTGATCCTCAAAACATAACCAGCCCGCTACAGCGGACAAATAAAATATACATCAAAATGTACATAATATAATAGTATCTAATAATAATAAAAAAAATATAACGTAATGAATTAGAGTAAGTGGTAGCAATAAATACTATGAGATTCACAGATTTAAAATCTTAACTAACGAATACCGAAATTCACTCGGGATTTACATGTAAACCTTAGGGCGACACTAACGCACTTGTAAATTTTAGATAAAATATTATTGCAATACATGGTGTGGTTATGGCAACAAAATAAATGCTTAAAGCACATCACCGGCCCGTCCACTGGCGAACACCGAGGCGAGTCTTTCGCACTAAAGGAACATCGTTTCGTAGTCAAAACACCTCCACGACTCGGGTGCGCCCCGTTGGATCAGCCGCAAAATATATCGAATTAAAAAAAAAAACTAGTGGATACGAAATAACGAACGTTGCCCGCAGCCCCCTGTGGACGCAACACTTCATGTAATCACACTATGTTACAGTTACAGTCAAGATTGCCTAGCGTAAGCGGCGGACTTACGTCGGCACCTTATTCACTTTTAGAAGATCGTTGGAGCCCTTGTCGATGGGCATCTTCATCGCGTCGTGGTGGTGGGTGACGTGGTGACCGTGGTGCTGTCCCTCCAGCTTCGCCTGCTTCTCTTGCTGCTGCTGCTTCATTCTGTCCTGCTCTTCCCTCTCCCTGCGCGCCTGTTCGTTGATCTCCTTCACAGCGCGTAGCTCCTTCTTGAGCTTCATGCGCCGATTCTGGAACCATATTTTGATTTGCCTCTCCGTGAGGCACAGGGCGTGAGCTATTTCTATCCTGCGTCGACGCGTCAGGTAGTGGTTGAAGTGGAACTCCTTCTCCAGCTCCAGAGTCTGGAACCTCGTGTAGGTCTGCCGGCCGCGTCGTCGCGGGCAGCCGTTCGGGCCTGGAACCAAGACGGGCGCGTTTAGTGGGATGACCATTTAATGTGCCATTTTCAATGATTATTGGGACGTAAATAACGGTTACAAACGGTTGTTGGTAATTAAAGTGGTTTTCATTCCGTCTTTACGTCCCCATATATCATTTAAAGCAGCGTTTGTTCAGATTCGCAGCGCGAAGCCTCCACGCCGGCCGTTAAATTTCACTTTATGTCATATGAGATTTTAATGGGCCATTATTATTTTATTGCCGCACTAAAGTTAATTTTAAATCCATCCGCTACTGACACCAACCTCTAAGTGGATCAAATGTTGAAACGTATAATAATGCCACAAGGGAATGTCGTCGACTTTAAAACTGGCCAGTGAGAAGGAACAAATACGGGCGAATGTTAAAAAAACCTCCGCAGAAATGAGTAAAAAAAGTAACGCAAAGGGTTAAGGCCCGTTAATGGCCCGCGCAGTAACAATGGAACGCTTTCTAAAAAGGAATCCCCATAAAAAGTCCGGGGTTGTGCAAAGAAGGGTTGCGCAACTTTCTAATGCATTGTAAGGTGTCTCCATTATTCACGTAAAGACGTTTTCGTGGAACCCGTGAAAGTTTTTAACCCTTCATCTACGAGTACTGCGAGCAGTTGTATGATAAATCTTAAAAACACTTTTCGATTCAAAAACCAGATTCCGTTTCAAGATCCCATGCCTAATCTACTGAGTATGTGGACTTGTTTTAAACATGCTAAACAGGGCTCTGTCCACATAGACGGGCAAATGCCGAGCGCGACAGGCACCGTACCCGGACTGGTTTTAAGCCAGGTAATAAATAAGGTAAGATAAATAGGCTTCCCGACGTGTATAAAATTGATAGCGGGCCAACGAAGGCGCGGGAATGTCCGCTCGTGTAGGATCGGCCTTACGTTCTCAGTTACCTGGACCTACCTTTAGATAGATAAGATTAGTTCGGTCGTCGCTAATGTACGTATTAAACAATAAAGACGTATCCGATACTTAGAATGAAAAAAAAATCTCGCCATTATTCACTTGGTTTATATATTATGTTAAATTAAAACGTTTTCATTTTGGCCGAGCATAAAACACAATAGTAAAATACGACCAACGCTGATAGCTACTTTGAAATATCCATTTAAAACGCATATCTGTCCGTAGATAAATTTATTTCAGCCATTTACATATAATTCGCGTACCAAACATAAACCTAATTGGTATAATAAATTGTTTTCCAATTCGGATTGCTCAATTTATTGTATAAATGGAAATCGTAAAGATGTTCATATAGATTTCTTATATTGTATTTCCTGCATTGTAAACACGATAAGTAAATGTAATTAAAAATATTTTTCCGCCCTAGCCTGTATCGAAATTCATAATTTAGTTAGACACTTTATAAAATTTACTCATTCAAAGCTATCGTAACCTAAACAAATCAAGTAGCTCATATGAAATTGTATACAATAATTTTATATCGACTATAAATTACTATAACTGCATTTTTATGGTCGCAATAACATTTACGCTTCTTGCTTATTTCAACAAAAACTTTAAAAACTGTTTAAAATGTCATAAATGGAAAATGGTATTATTGTACGATGTGGTTAGAAGAGTATAGCTATTAGCAGCGGAGCGAGAGAACGAGATAGAGGAAGTCATTCTAATTTTAAAAAGCAAAGATGGAACCCAAAACACAATACACGAGTCCCAATAATGCAATCAAGGAGAAGGGTCGTAAATGTGGCTCAATGCTGCTCAAAATAGATCCTTTTTGCATAGAGGATAGAGGCTAAATCTGATTGGGATGGGGGAGAGATCGGTTGTTCTTTGTCGACGGTAGTAATAAGTTAGCAGAGCAGGTTGGCCACCCTTCACACGGTCGCCATGACAACGGACGTTAAGGCACCTCCCGTCAGCTGGGTTCCATTATTCGCTGTCGTATTGTAGAGACGGGGCGGTTTGTCACTGATACGTCTTACCTGTAAAAGCTGTTTTCCCGTACCGAGTTTTTTTTTTTCACGATACCAATCTCGAAATACCTACTCGACACATCAGCCTCATTTGCATTGTTTCGACGATTTCCTGTTTTTGTGTTGAGTCTACTACGTATTGTCTCATCGTCCGAACACCATGACGAATAAGTTATCAAAAAGAAAAGAATCCGAATTATTTATGGCGTGTCGTGTAATATAGAACAAAACTAAAAATTATTTTTAAATGGACGCCGCTGCGCGTGTAATATATCTCGAAGAGGAACGACATAGCATTAATTAGGGCCGTACATTGTGCGCCGGCTTCGGGCCGACTATAAACATACTGCGACAAGCCCTGGCTCTTAACTTACCTCGCTTTTTTCTCCGAAATAAATCTCACGGAATGTTCTCGCTTATTTATTATTTTATTTAACTTTTTCTTTTTTTTTATCAAACCTGCCCGCCTTTGTAAGAAACCAGTTCCACAGTGGCTTTGATTAATGTGCCCCGCCGGATTGGAATATTAAAATGGTATGATTGTGAATTATAATAAATACTGGCCGGTAAGAAGGTTATTTATAGGGCGAGCAAGATAGTTTGGCTTCTGGTGACTGGTCAGGGAGCGTGTTGTAATTGAAATTACAGAAGCGGTCCAACCTGTCTTTTATTCAATTACAAAGTTACAATAAATAGATATATGAAATTATATTCTTAGTATTTCGTTAAGAGCACAAATTGAAACCGAGTCAAAAATATCACGTTCAAAAATTATATAACATTAACGTATTTTTGTATACAGCGCTCATTACTTATTTTAAAAATGTAATTAAATTTAATCCAAGAAGCTTTCTAGAATTGTTAGTTTATTTGATTCCGTCTTGGTCTATAATTGAAAGATAAACTATTCACTGATAAAATCGTTTAAATTTGAAGATTAACATACAAAACGAAAACAGTTACACCAAACTGAGCACAAGTTAAATCGTGGGACTTGAGTTGTTTTAGTCAATTTGTACGCTTGAATTAAAATAATTGAATCAACAAAATGTAAGTACGAATATAATGTGCATGCAAAATGTTTTTATTCTTAACGATAAAGATCGCAGGATCCTAATCTGTTTGTGTTAAAAGGTTGTGTTTAAGTGATTTTAATTTAACTTTTCCGCTTGAAGCTGTTACGTGAATGTGTTTTTTTTTTATAAGAGATGAATCTGTTTCTGTAAAAGCTCCATGTGAATTTTCATAACTAAATAACTTATCCATTTTCATAAATAACGTCACACTGTTAGCAAACGAGACAAAACGTTCGACACGTTTTCGTGTAATTTTCCACTTGTGCTCGTTTAACCCCACCGTGGGGTCCCCGATTGTTCGAAGTGATAGTTGTTAATTAATATCTAATAGACGGGACTTAGGGTGTGCACGCAACAAAACATACAATAACCATACCGTTGCGATGTAATATACTGCGTGTGGAATGTATGGAGTTACCTAAAGTGTCAGTAATAACTATGGCCGACAACGCATTTGTAACTTTTCTGGCGTTGCAATTGTCCATGGGCAGCGGTGAACACTTACTTACACTTAGGTTTGCCTCCTTTTCCAAAAAAAAAATGTAGCTTACTTTTTTAAGCTTAGATAAATAAAATAACCTTTATTGGAGCATGTAACAGATGTTTGAAAACCCTTTAATCAATATCTGGACTAAGTAATTACCAATAATTACAAGTTTTATATTTCTCAATATTTTTCATATTTCCGAAGACATTTAAAATACTTTTATGCATATATTTATATTAATCCAAACAAATCGATCACGTTCTGGTGCGTTTTTTGTGAATGAAAGTAATAAAATTATAAATGGTTATTTTCGAGTACAGCTTAAGATGATACGCACTAAGTGTAATCAATATCGTTATGAGGTATTAAGTTTATATCAATTAAATCGCCATTAAAACCTCATAAGAGCCGTGTAGCCCCACGTCAGAGACCCCGGAGTTTATTGCGCTGTAACTCGTGGACCCATCGTAAACACACCGCCGCTTTCCGTCCGCCATTTTAAAATAGAACTCGGCGATGTCAAAAGTGGATACCGGCGAATTGTTTTCGGTTCCTGTTCAAATTTCTTTTGTATCGTGGCAGGCTACCTCTTTAATTCAGCAGAGTAACCTTAATGGAATGTTGGTGTTATTTCACTGTTTGTTTACCGTTTGTTGTTTAGTGACAATAATGTTACTGTAATTAGGTAGATATATCAATTATTTGCATATTTTCAAGTTGATTATATATCACGATATGGAATCTAATAATGTTACGTTCAACATACCATTAATCTTAGTTTATGTCGCAAAGATTAACGTTATAAAGATAATAATCAAATACATATATTTCGTTTTAAAGTGCGCTTTAGATCTCATGCAATTGGAATTTTACAAAGATTTTGAATAGCACTATTAGAGCAAATGCTGCATTAGTAAACATGGTTACTATTTGCAACAGGAAAAGCGACTTGATTTGCGGGCATGGTAGTACAGTAAAGCAAAAAGCTAATATTTCAAACAAGCTCAAGTCGGAAAGGGGCATTTTCTCCCGTTGCGAACGCCAGTTAAATCATCACAATGTTGTTCTGTGCTCCGTTCTACAAAGGACATTGCCTTTGGACCAGGGCTGGCACGGTTACCAAACTTAATCATTTGCAATAGAAATAAATCAACGCACTGTAAGTTACTTTAATATAAATATATATGATCTATATGAATTTATAAAGTATATGCATCTTATAACTTTATTAAATATCTATTTTGAAACAGTATTTTGGATATCTAGTTACTGTTCAGCATATTATATGTCCATATAAGTCTGCACTACGCAAATTACAAATTTATGATACCAAAGATGTGGGTACCTCTTCTAATCAATTTTAATATTTTAATTAGTTTACAGATAAAATCAATTCTAAGAACCATTAAATTAATATAAAAGATACGATTTTATCAAGTGCTTTATCTGTTCCGTGACATTGAAAT